GGGCGACTAAGGACAACAGCAAATGTTTCAGGAACTTGATCAACTTCTATATAAGTACACTGTTAAAAAAAAGTCACACAACTATAAAACCAAAAATGTAAAGTCACCAAATTCCAGAATTTAAAACACTGTTTGGAAGTCATGATCATGGAGCTAAACTGACTAAAGTGAAATTTTTTTTTCTTTCTCTTTTTCTTTTCTTTTCTTTTTTTTTTTCTTTTTTTTGTTTTGTTTGTTTGGCTAGTTGTTTTGGTTTTCTCCGGACAGGTTTCTCTGTGTAGCTTTGTCTGTCCCAGACTCTCTTTGTAGACCAGGCTGGTCTTGAACTCACAGAGATCCACCTGCACCTGCCTCCCTGAGTGCTGGGATTACAGGCATGCACCCCCATGCCTGGCAACAAAACTTTTAATAATAAAAGCATTAATCTTAAAAATCATGCAGAATTGACTCCAAAGCATTTATCACTTAAATACATTCTGAATGTGTCCTATTAAATTAAACCCTGCTAAGACAGGTCAGTTACAAAAATAAATCAAGCTTCATTTCAAGAAACAAAGACTTCTCCATTAACTAAGATAAAACAAATATTAAGTATGAAGGCCAGGAAGAAAGCAAACTGCTGTGGACATTTAGGAGTGATGGCTATTAATCTTCAAATTGGTTCATGAGAATAGCTACTGTAATCTGAAGAGTAAGAAAGCAGTTCTCGAGTTCAGTGCCTAGCACGCCCTGACTAGTGACACATGCACTCATGGGTACCTGAGACCCTCAGTCACGTGAGAATCACCAGGGGCCCACACTTCCACTCCAAGTGACCACTGAGGCATCTTCACAGCAATGGAAAGAGTAAGGACCTGACTTACATGATGGGCTAGATTTAAACATACAGGTATAGACTAGAAATGATATTCCAAATGAGTAAGCAGTCACAGCAAAAGAAAACTATAGTCTAATATACAGAAAGCCTTATATTTAATGCATACCAATGTTATAACATCAAGAATATAAAATGGTCATAACAACAGAAGGCAATATAAATCTTTAAGTTCCATGTAAATAGACAGTTTAAATAAAAAAATTAAATGACACTTTATTTAATATATATATGAGATTAGGGAAAAGACATAAAATGTATGTTGATGGTATTATCAGGTGCCTAAGAAACCTTTTTGATGAACCACAAAACTTACTTATAGGGCTGAAAATGTGGCTCAATTGGTAGAATATGTGCCTAACATACAAGGGGCTAAGGGTTTGACCCCAGCACCATAGAAAAAGAAACAAAACCTGTTATTCATAAAACCTGGAATAATTTTTCTCATTCTATAATAAGCAGCTGAAACCCTAGCTTTAACAAAATCATTTTTTAAAATTATTTTATTTTTATGAATATTTTGCTTACATGTATTTCTGTGCATATGTGGGCCTGGAGCCCACAATGGTCAGAAGAGAGCATTGGATCTCATGCAACTGGACTTATGGATGGTTGTGAACCACCACATGGGTGCTGGGAATCAAATCTGGGTCCTCTACAAGAACAATAAATGCTCTTAACCACTGAGCCAACACTCCAGCCCCACTCTTTAACCCCTAGTCTGATCTAGATGTTCCTTCTCTGCTGCCACAACTTGCTACTCCTACCTAAGTTGACCATTTAAACCACCCTCCTTTATCGGGCCATTAGTTGTATCCATAGTCCATTTGTATACTCTCAGCCCCTATAAGATGGTATCCAGGTTTTAATAACTGACTTTAAATCCCTTATCACATCTAACATATATAACATATAAAGTATTGCAATACTGATCAAAGAGAAAACAAAATTTATTCTTTTAGCAGCATCTTCTAAGTTTTTGAAATAAAAGACCAGCAGTCTATTTTTAATTTAAACTATTTTCAATCTTAAATTCTTGAATTTTAACTTCATTGGTCTTCTGTCAATTGGCAGCTAATGAAAGAAATAACCATATATGGGGCTAGAGAAATGGCTCAGAGATTAAGAGCACTAGCTGCTCTTATAGAGGACCAGGGCTCAGTTCCTGACACCCACATGGCAGCTCACAACTATCTGTAACTGTAGTTCCGGGAGATCCAACACCCTGTTCTGGCCTTCTTGAGCCCCAGGCACACACATGTGGTATATAAACATACATATAGGTAAGACATTCATACATATAAAATAAAATAAAATAAAAGTTTTTTTAAATATCCAGTAATAATATTTTAAAAAATAGATATTGCTAACATAACATGTATTTCACCTACCTGAAGACGTTTTTTCAAATCATTGTGAACTGCAGCTGGAAAGTAAATTACTTCTTGTACTTCATCAAAGAGTCTGTCTGAATTTTTTCCAAAAATAACCCTGTTTTCAACTGTTGCTGGAGGCAATGCCACAAAAGTGTCACAGGAATAGGGTTCCATTTCTTTAAAAAAAATGCAAGCAAATAGAAGTTTCAAAATAAAAAGAGAAAACATTTTTAAATATACACAAAACAAAGAGCTTTTTCTATGACTAAGGGATATATCTAAGAAGGGTGCATAGGAAAGTTTTAAATATCATATTATTTCTGTGCATTCCAGGACAGCCAAGGGTATACAGGAAGACCTCCACAAGTAAATAAATAAACTACAGAAATTAGAATATGGTTTAGTAATCAACTACAATAATAATGTTCTGCGATAATCACCTGGCAATGAGAACCACGCTCTAGTCTACAGGTCAAATTTCATCTGCAAGCCTTTCTGACCTGAGTCTTTGCTCCTCCTTCACTGTGCCCACAGCTGCTGTAGACGCCATCGCCCGCTGTCTTGTGTATCCAGGAGGCCCCTTACTAGAAAGTGGCATTCTACAGAGTTGGAGGACTTCTTATTGATCTTGCCATCATTACTGGAAATTATGGAAAGGCCAGGAGGTGATGGTGCACATTTTTAATGCCAGCACCTGGGAGGCAGAAGCAGGAGGTTCTCTATGAGTTTGAGGCCAGCCTAGTCTAGACAGTGAGGTCCAGGACAGTTAGGGCTACACAGAGAAACCCTGCCTCAAAACAAAACAAAAAGCAAAAAAGGAACTTATGAAAACAAGCAAATGTATGATCCTAATTTTGCTTCAGAGGAGGTCTCTTTCCGCTTAAGGAAAAATGCACACAGAGACTATAATATTGAAAGGACAGACTTTTTGAAACAAAACCAGTACTTTGGACAAATACAGAAGGATGTCAATAAGATTCTAATTATTAGAGGCAGAGGCAGGTGAATCTCTGAGTTTGAAGCCAGCCCTGAGATCCAGGACAGCCACGGGTACAAAGAAAGAAAATAAACAAAATCCCAACTGTTCCTATGTCCAGATGGAAGTTCATGTTTGTAACTTAGAAATCCTGACTATGGAGCTGACATAGGAATTCTCTTCATCTGTTATTTGGAAAGTCTTAAATCCTAATTTGTAGAACAATTCAAGATCCTGTATTTGTACTTTGCTTTTAGAACAGATATAGTTTTTAGTTTTCCTCTTTTATACATCTTTAAGATTTATTTTTACTGTTTATGTGCATGTATATATGTGTCTATTTACTGTACGTATGGAGACGCCCAAGAAGGCCAGAAGTAGACCTCACACCCACTGGAGCTGGAGCTGTAGGAGGTTGTGAGCATCATGCCGGGCATGTTGGAAACTGAACTCCAGTCTTCAGGAAAAGCAGTGGGCTACCTTAACGGCTGAGCTATGTCTCCAGCCCAGTTCCCTTCTTTTATAATAACCAAATCTTAGCAAAGCTTTATACAGGCACATTTTAAACATTTAAAAACCGAACACAAAATATAAATATTAAGACGTTTCCTTGAAAGGAAAGGAAAGCAAAGCAGGTTATGGTAGCACATCTGTAATCTCAACACTTGGCAGGATTAGCTAAAGTTTAAAAATTGCCTGTGCTACATAATTCAAGAACATGGTGAAACGAAGAAAATAACTCAAGAAATAACTTCACCTTGGTCTTCTCTTCTCAAAGATGAGAAGAGGTATCACTGTTTTGATTTGTGTGCATGTGTTTCCCCTCTGAAGTTTTTTATCTCCTGTCTACCGTGTTCCAAAGTCATCTACCCCAATACATAACTTAGGCAAGCTGCTAATTCTCTTCCTCTTTTCTTCCAAGTTTAAGCCTTACTTACATGGACCGTGTCAAGATAAAAAACCTGGAACACAGCCAACTTCCAAACGAAAGCTGTCATCTTTGGTAATTCGACTTATTCTCATCCTTGCTAGAGGTCAGTGGACTACGCCATGCCCACATCAAACCCTAGGGCTACCAAGCTGCGGTGGGTGATACACGAACAGGGATAGCGGCAGCAACTGAGAAAACAGCACTCAGGGAGGAAAGCCCTTGGCCCTAACGTGTTGTCATTATTCATGAGGTTTGCTGAACATCTTTCTGCATAGCTAGAAAGAACCCAAGGAGGCTGGGAGTAGTGGCACAGCCTTTAATCCCAGCACTGGAGAGGCAAAAGCAGGCGATCTCTTGATATTTGAGGCCAGCCTTGTCTACTTAGCTGAAAACCAGCCAACGCTACCTAGTGAGACCCTTTCTCAAAAAAAGCTTAGCAGTAACAACAACAACAATCAGCAATAACTGGAAGGGAAGCGCCTCTCGAGTCCACTCGCAGTCCACTCCAGTGCTTTGGGTAACACTAATCTTTTGAGGCTTACTGTCTCCATAATCTACACGGTAACTGCGCTGCAAAAGAAAGTTTTTGCAACTGGAGTCGGCGTTGCCAGAAAGCGCTAGGTTCGAACTTCAAGACCTAACGCTGCTCGCGACCCTGCCTAGAGCGAGCCTCCCGCAAAGCAGGTTCCCCGGACTTACCTCAGCTGCGCACGCGCGGAAGCCGGCTCAGCCGCGGCAGCGGCTAGAAGCAATCGCCGGAAGAGACGAGGAGGGGCGGGCCCAGGCGCGAATCGTCGGAAGTGGTCACCTTCGACCTCGGAAGTTCTCGCCGATGCCCGCCTAACAGTTCCGGTGACGCTCGGGGAGTTTGTTTACGTTCGTCGCAGAGCTGTAGGCTGGCTGCTCCGTCTCGTATTCCAAGATGGGGAAGTCGTTCGCCAATTTCATGTGCAAAAAGGACTTTCATCCTGCGTCCAAATCCAACATCAAGAAGGTGAGTAAAGGGATCCGGAGAGGGCAGCGCTGAGCTGAGCCCCCTGAGACAGCCGTGTCCTCTGCACGTTTGGAGCCGTCCCCGCTTCCTCCTAGCTAACCCAACCGACCGAATGGTTCCCAAAGTCCGGCCTGTCAGTGTGGAGACTGACGCCATAGCTCGGTAACACTGTCTTCGGCCCACTCCGGGTCCGTCTCCTAGAGCCCCAAGACCAAGGCTCTGCTCCCGTGTGTGAAGAGATCTTCCGAGAGAAAGCCACTCCTGCTTTCACACTCCCCACCCCACATCTCCACCCACTAGTGTGCTCTCTGATGGCCGCGTTCAAGTAATACAGGTCAGCCATGGGCTGGGCACAGAAGGACTGTGGCAAGAGTTATAGCGCGAAATGGAGTGTCTGGGCTTTGGAGTCAGACCAGGATTCGTTAGTTTAGTACAGTCACGTTTAGCCCTGAAGCATCGCACAGAATATTTAATGTCATCATCATTAGCGTTCTACCCTACCAATTAGGAATGATCAGTGTCAGTTGTCCCAATCTGTAAAGTTGTTAGGAAGAATAAGTGAAATAGTATGGGAAAAGACTAGAAACACAAAATGAGGGCTTAGCACTATGCGTCACGAAAAGTACTCAGAAGTACACAAACTTGGGAGAATATATTAAACTTTAGTTGTTTCTAAACCTGTTGTGGGTCCTGTATGTTTCAATGCTGGAGATGAAGACGGGAGAGCAAGCTGATAGCTAGGCTAGTGGAATTGTTAAGCTCTGGGTTCAGTGAGAGGCTCTGCCGCAGTGAGTAAAGTGGAGAATGGCTTTGTTTTTTTTTTTTTTTTTTTTTTTTTCTCTCAAGACAGAGTTTCTCTGTGTAGCCTTCGCTGTCCTGGACTTGCTTTGTAGACCAGGCTGGCCTGGAACTCACAGCAAGTGTCTGGGTTAAATGTGTGCACCACCACACCCAGTTCAGAAGATAGCTTGTTTTTTTTTTCCTAACCCCTGGACTCCACACTTACCTGCATATAATACACATAAGCACACATGCATATGTGTGTACAAATCAGTCTTCTTTAATTTGAATCCAGTTGTTAAATTATATTTTGTTTCACCAATATAGGTATGGATGGCAGAACAGAAAATATCATATGATAAAAAGAAACAAGAAGAATTAATGCAACAGTACCTTAAAGAACAAGAGTCATATGATAACAGGTAAGTTTTTAGAATAATCACTAAGGCAGTTTCACTCCCATAAGTATACGTGGTTAACCTTTTTCAACTTCACCTAGTCTTCATTTAATGTTAATTTGACTCATGCAGTCTTTGAGCAAGTCCCAACCAAATGAGTCAGAGCTTGCAGAAGTAATAAACAGTGTTAGCGACTGAGACTGATTAGAAAGGTTTCTCTGTAATATGCTGAAATAAAAGGATGCTCAGGACGCTTAGAAGAGAAACTGGGTGTCTTTGCCCTGTGTGTTGTGGCTAGAATCCACTGGCTGCTTCCAGGATGGGACCTTTTAGCTGCTTTCAGTGTGTTTGCATCTGGCTAATTAATGGAGTAGTGAAGCAACACTTATTTTTGAAACATTCACATTTGAAACCTGTGATATTCATCAGTTTCTGGATAATTGGGTCATGCTGTTGACATTGACTTAGAGGTATCTGTTCATTGCTGTTTTCAGTTGCTTTGCTTATGTGCTTAGGTGCAGAATTGCTGCCTCTTAAGGTAATTCTTTGTTTAGCCTTTTTAAAGAGCTACCAAACTTTTCCACACTATTTTATATTTCCTACTGTTAGTGCAGAATGCTGTTTTCCTACATGCTTGGTATTTGTAATTTTGCCGCCTTCTATTTTTTTAATCTTTATTTGTTGTTTTTGTTGTTAAGAAGTCTCACATAGCCTAAGCTGGTCTTGAACTCCCTGTGTAGCTGAGGATGACCTTAAACTCTAGATTCTCCTGCCTTGCACTCCCAAGTCCTGGCGTGTGCTACTACCCCGGTGTATGTGATGCTAGGAACCGGACACAGGGCTTCCCGTGTGTAGACCAGCACTCCATCAATTGAGTTACATCTCAGCCCATCTACTAATAGCCGTGCTGCTAAGTATGAAGTAGTAGCTCATAGTTTTGATTTCTCTATCTCGATATCTAGTGAAGCTAAGCTTTTTATGTACTTGAGTTATAATTTTTAAATGTTTTTAAGACAAAATTTACAGATGTTTAAAGTACACTCAGCTTTTTAAGTTTGCTTAATGTTTGTAAGCCATCACAGTGGCTTATGTTTGTAATATTTTTTTATCACCTGAAAAAGAAATTTTGTACTCATTAGTAGTTGTCTTAGGGTTTCATTGCTATGAGGAGACACCATGACCAAGACAAATCTTAGAAAGGAAAACATGTAATTTGTACTGGCTTACAGTTTCAGAGGTTTAGTCTATTCTCATCATGGGGAGGAGCATGGTAGCGTGGTGGTGTGCAGGCAGACATGGTACGGGCAGAGATGAGAGTTCTACATCTTGATCCAAAGGTAGCCGGGAGCAGACTGTGCAGACTGTATTACACTGGGCATAGCTTGAGCATCTAAGAGCTCAAAGGCAACCCCCACACTGACATACTTCCAACAAGGCCACACTTCCTAATAGTGCCACTCCCTATGGCCAAGCATTCAAACTCATGAATCTATGGGGGCCTAGTCAGGCCACCACAGGAGTCATTCCCCATTTCCTAAGTTACACCATTTCTACCTCTCACAAGTAATCCCATTTTACGTGATGCCTATAAATATGTAGTTTTTAAAATTATGGACACATAAGGGAAATGACTAAAGGGTCTTTTGTGAGTAGTTTATTTTTTTAAATACATGTATTTATTTGTGTGTGTGTGTGTGTGTGTGTGTGTGTGTGTTATGTATAGGGGTATAGGAGGACCTTGGTGCACATGTGGAAGTCAGAGGACAGCTTGGTGGGAGACGAGTCTCTGTTTTCACTCTGTGGGTCCCAAGGATTGAACTCGGGTCAGCAAGCTTATCCATTGACCCATAAAACTGGCCCCTGATTGCTTTAACTTAGCATGTTTATGAAGGTTATCCACCACATACGTTAGCACACATTCCTTTTAAATAAAAAATAATATCCCACAATAAAGACGTATATTTGAATGTCCTTTTGGTTTTTTGTTTGTTTGTTTGTTGTTTTTGTTTGGGAGTTGTTTTACAGATTTTGGGGGTATAGAATCCAATGGAGAAAAGGAGAGAATTACATACAATAATGTAGTATATACTTTGTGATTGCCTTTTTCAAATACAAGGACATTCCATACTTATGCTGTAGCTTTTTTTAATACTTAACTTGGCTTTTGGAGATTTAACTCTTTTTTTTTTTTTTTTTTTTTACTTATTTTTATTATTAGTGACATTTTATTAACTCTGTATCCCAGCTGTATCCCGCTCCCTCATTCCCTCCCAATCCCATCCTCCCTCCCTGAGATTTAACTCTTGACTTGTCACAGAATTCTGCTTGCTGTGGACTTTTTTCCTACACAGCCCAACAGCAATGCTGTGCACAGAACCTATGAAAAGAAACTTAAGTTGCAACTATAAAATCTAAGATTTTTTTTTAAGGCATAGTCATTTCTGGCTTTGTTGTATTAGCCTATTATAGAATTTTGTTAAATTGTTCTTATCTTTGTTCTCATTAAGGAATTTGGTTCTGGAGCTGGGAAGTCTGCTCAGTGTAAAGTGTTTGTCATGCAGGCATGAGGACCTGAGCTCTCAGGGTAGAGATCCCTGGGGCTTGCGGCTTAGCTGTTCTACTTCCGTCAGTGAGCCGTGGGGTTAGTGGGACCGTGTCTAAGAAGGTGGGTGGAGAGCTGGTCAGATAGGTGAAGGTGAGTGCAATTTTTAAGACTCCCATAGAGGTAGAAGCAGAGAACTGTCCACATACAATAATTAATTAAAAGTAAAATAAATGATTAAGAAAAACACCCTACCTTAGCCTATAGCCTCCACATACATGTGTATTCACACACACACACACACACACACACACACACACACACACACACACAC